CCAGCTGAAAAAGCACAGAGAAGACACAGCCAAGGAATGGGCGCGGATTCCCGTCAGTGGTTCTCACTATAACGGACAGATGAGTGGAAAATGCAAGAAGGAAAACAACCTTGCTTGGCACCGTGCCCACACACACATCCCAGTGCAGTGGGGGAAAAAAGGCTGGGGGCACATCCCAGCCGTGGATCAGCTTTCTGGCCCAGGGAACGAGCAGATCTGGCAGATGCCTAAATACTGGTGACTCCCAGTGCAGAAAGCACTTTCCCGTGAGCAGCAACCCGAGGCCCCGCTGCAGAGCTCCCGTGCTGCAAGCAGGTGGATGCTGACCACCACCGGGCAGCACCTCCCCACCGCGCCCCCGCCCCAGGCACGGGCCCACCTTTCTTGAACTCCTCCAGCATGGCATCGAGCTTGGTGTCATTGAAGACAAAGTGCAGCGGGTGGTTGTAGAAGCGGGTGATGGTCTTGAGCGGTGTGCAGTCATCGGGGTCCACAAAAGCCAGGTCCTTAACAAAGAGCAAGTCCACGATGTTGGAGCGGTCGCCCTCGAAAACAGGGATGCGGGTGTAACCGCTCTCCATGATCTCAGACATAGTGTTGAAGTCGAGCACAGCCTCGGCAGCGATCATAAAGCAGTCTCGGAGGGGAGTCATCACGTCCTCCACAGTCTTGGTGCGCAGTTCCAGGGCTCCTTGGATAATGTTGAGCTCCTCCTTGACTAGATCGTTATAAGGGTCGGTGACCCGCAGCATCTCCAACAACTTCTCACGGTTATAGACCGTGCCGATCTCCTGGCCCAGGACACAGTCCAGCAACTTGCTGACGGGGTAGGAGGCCGGGAAGGTCATCATCATGAAAAACTTGGTGAGGAAGATGGTGTTGGCGCCCACGGCCAGGCCGTGCCGAGAGCAAATAGCCTGCGGCACGATCTCGCCGAAGATGACGATACCGATGGTGGAGACCACCACGGCCACCAGCCCAGAGCCGGCAATGTCGTCCAGCAGGATGGTAAGGGTGGTGTTGACCAGGACATTGCCCAGCAGGAGGGAGCACAGCAGGTAGTTGCCCTGACGCCGCACAGGCTCGATGCGCTTGGCGTAGTTCTTCTCTTTGTCCGTGCCACAGTTCTGCACGATGCGCAGTTCCATGGGGTCCAGGGCCATCAGGCCCAGGTTGAGGCCACTGAACATGCCCGAGAGGCACAGGAGGAGCGAGATGAAGATGACCTGCAGCCAGAAGGGCAGCAGGAACTTCTTCTCCTCGCCCACGATCATCTTGGTGTCCTCGCCGTCATGGTAGATCCAAGTGGTCTCACCCCAGGGCGGGGGTCCCGCCGGTCCCTCGGCGCCCGCCAGCCCTCCGGGAGCCGCGGGCCCCAGGGCGGCGGCGGGGGCCGAGACGGAGGTGCACAGGTAGTAGGACTTGCTCTTCTCCGTTTTGCGCAGGGGCTTGATCTCGATCTCGATGATGCCCGAGGTGCGGCGGTTGAGCACGATGTGCGGCAGGATGATGATGTCCGAGGTGCGGATGCCGCAGCGCTGCGGGGCCCCGCCGCTGCCCGCCGACCCGCCGCCGCCCCCGCCACCGCCGCGCCCCGCCGGCCCCTGGCGCCGCCCGCCCGCCCCGCCGCCGCTCGTGCTCCGTGAAGGCGATGCGCGACCACGTCTCGTTGTTGATGTTCTGCCCGTAAACCCGCAGCTTCACCCGCGTCCGCTCGCTCACCCGCAGCGCGCCCCCCTCCATGAAGGAGACGTCGTCCGTGTCCTCCAGCCGCAGGCCGATGATCACCGTCTCCTCCGCCGCCGGCGGGGGCACGACGGCGGCGGGCGGCGCGGCAGCGGTGGCGGCCGGGGGCCGCCGGCCCAGGCAGCCGCCGAGCAGCAGCAAGAGCAGCACCCGCGCCCCCCGGCCGCCCCCCGCCATGTTCCCACCGGGCAGCGCGGCCATCTTTAGTCAGGGCTCGGCACCGCCGCGGCCCCGCATCACCGCGCAGCGCCTGCGGCGTGCCCCGGCTTCCCCGGCGGCGGCGGTGGGCGCGGCGGCGGCGGCGGGCGAGGCGCGGGCTCGGCTGCCCGCGGGACCCGACGGGCGGCGACTGCCGAGCCAGGCCGACCAGCGCCGCCTCTACCCGCGCCCGCCCCGCCCCGCCCCGCCCGCCGCTCGGGGGAGGGGCCTCCGCCCGGCGCCGCCAATCAGCGCCCGCCCGTTCCCCAATCTGCGCCAAGCCACGCCTCCTCCGCGCCCCGCCCCCTCCCCAGCCCCGGGGGCGCGTGACTCCGGTGTGTACGCCGGGCGCGCGGGGGCGGGGCCGGCCGTGCGGCCGAGACCAATGGCGGCGGCGCTCGGTGCCGAAGGGGGCGGAGCCTAAGGAGGGGCGCGACCAATGGGGACGCGGTGCGGTCGGCGCGCGCTGCGCTTGGGACGAGCGGCCCCGGGAGCGCCCGCGCCGGGGCACAGGGCGGCCGAACGGGCCTGGCCATCCCGCTTTCCCCCCGCTCCCGCCCGGCCCAGGGCGACCGCCGCTCCCCTCGGACCCACCGCGCCGTTCGTCCCCTTCAGTGGCTCGGGAGCGCCGCCCCGCGTCCGCGCGCCGCACTGGTCGGCGGTCGCTCAGCGCCCCCTGGCGGTCCCACCGAGCCTCGTAGGCCCGGCCCGACGGGGCGCACCCCGGTGCCTCCCGCCGGAATCTGCTGCGGCGGAGGCCGCTCTCTCAGCCGTGCCCGTTCCCCAGTCAGCGCCGAGCCGCCGCCGGTGCAGTACCGTGCGACGTTTAAGAAATCGAGCTGAGGCACCGCGGCCCCCGGGCACCCTCCGCCCCGACACTTCCTCGATTGTGTCGTGCCTGAGGGCGGAATTCACCATTAAATACCGAATGCGGACAGGCCGCGCTCCTCCCTCACCTCTGCTCTGCTCCGCCGCCCCGTGCCGCGGCGGAGGGTGAGCGGCGCCGGGGTTTGGAGCTCCCGCTGGGGACATCCAAAGCAGCCCCAGCTGTCCCGCCCTGCTCATCCTCCTCTCAGGGATGCACGGAGAGCCGAGAGCCCCGATTCATGAAAGCACCTGCACATTCCCGGCCACGTCCCACCGCCCTGAGAGCCCGGCTGTTTCCCGGGCCTCGGCTGCTGTGCCGCAATCCCAGCCGGGGCAACACACACCCCAACCCGGCCGTCATCGCTCCATGCTCATCACTTGTGAAGGAGCCAGGAAACAGTTCAGCATCCTGGAGAGCCAGAGACAAACAGCCATGGGAGCAATCAGTATGGCTTGTGGTGGCTGACACCCTTTAGAAGCGGTAAAACACTCTCCCTGCTGTTTAAGTGCTTGGAAAATGGAAGAATAAATTATGCAGGGGAACCCAATAAGATGTGAAGCAGAGCACAATGCTCTGGCGGCTGTAGCCACAAATCTTTCCTGGTCCCAAACCACGTTCAGCTTATCCTGACGGAGTTCTGCTCCCCTAAGGAGGTGACAGGTGTCCCTGAACCACAGCGACACCCTGCTAAGCACAGGGTTAGCAGGGACTCAGGAATCCCTTCCCTTTCCCCTCAGAGTGAATCAGACCATCACAACCTCTGGTTACTGCCATCACAACATCCCCTCTGCCTGCCGAGGGAGGACACCAGTGCTGCAGAGCTTCACACTAGGAGAACAGGATTTGGGATTTGGGCCATCTCTACAATCACCAAAATAGAGACTGGGGTGTTGGACAGATATTCTTCACCTGGGATAGGGCTGCAGGACCTCCTCTTTTCATACACTGAGGGCTAAAAACCCCAAGGCTGTGCATGCACAAGTAAAGCCAAGAAAAGAGGACACCACTGCACCCCACAGCCTGGTGAGGACCTCTAATACTCCACATCAAAGTCAAGTTCTCCTAGCTGCTTCCTTCCTGACATGCTGAGAATTTGGGAAAAACACAGTGCAATGCAATTATAGTGGCCTTTGAGCTGTGGCCTTTTTCTGTATGCACAGAGCAGGGATCTCACTGCGGGTGCAGCTCTTCCCAGGCAAGTTGAAAGGCCATGCCAGGGACTCATGCCTTCTTAATGAAGGGATTTGCAGGTAGGACCCCTCCTCACCCCACCTGCTCTTCCCTTCCCACTGTGAAGGCTGCCTTTGATAGCAGGAGCTAATTGCTGCAAACCTGCCAGTATGAGCTGTTTGGGGGCTTGGAAGAAGTCTTTGTAAGTAATCTAGGAAGAGGGCTGGGGGTGGGGTGTGTGTATTAAACAGCTCCTTCCTCCCAAGGTCCCATCAGTGAGGTCATTCCACACAATTTCAGGTGTCCTGAACACCTGGACCCTCCTCAGCCACTGCTACTGCTATGGCAGAGCATCCTTGGCATTGGCCTGTTTCTTTATTAACCCAAATTTTATTGGGTTTTGCTTCTTAACTTCCCCCATACCACAGCAGGATGATGCTTAAATGGCAGAGACAGGAAATTTGGCCCCTCCTGTAAAATTACTGTGTGAGGAGGGGTGGAAATGGTCCCTTATTTCCAAGTTTAGCTGTTCAGCAGCCCCCAGCCTTTCCCAAGCACTTTCTGTGGGCCAGGTCGTGTGGGATTCATGCTGGGCAGCAGGAATGCAGTCCATCACCTCCCACCACATCCTAAAAGCCCTCCCATCTTGCTCTTTGCCTGCAGCTGGATGTGTTTCTGCTTTTCCAGAACTGCTGAATTTCCCTGCAAAACTCTGCAGGTGAGATGCCTGCAGGAACTCGGGGCTTTCCAGCTAGATGGAGTCTGGGGAAAACAGAAACCTCAGTGGTGCTGCAGAGGGAAAGAGAGAGCAAACCCCATCTCCTGGAAGAGGCTGCAGGGCTGCAAGTGAGACAGAGACTGTCCCTGCCTGTGTGCCCAAGCCACAGAGCCAGTGTCAGCCCCACAGTGAGGGGACTCACAGGACACATCCTCACTGCAACCAGGCACAACCTGCCCCACCAGCCCTGCCAGGGAAGCACAGCACCCACGGCCCTGTGGCAGCTACAAACACACAACCTTTGAGCTCAGCACATGTGTTTATTTGCTCTCTGGTGGGAGGCGTCACTGGGGCCAAGGCCTCTCACTCCACTGACTTCCAACAGGGGTGTAGGGACACCACTTAAGACTGAGCAGCACCCTGGGGACCACAGGTGCCACCAGGACACCTGGCAGGACCTGGGGCTCTCAGCCGCTCCATCAGCTGGAAGGGATCACAGATCTTCTCCTGAAGGACAGAGAAAAACCCAGGGCAGGATCAGGCCAGTGGGAAGCAAGAGCCACCTGAGAAAGTGGCACTTAGCACTTCCCTAGCTATCATGGGGGGCAGCCCCTGGGTCACTCCAGCTGCTTTTTCCTGCAGCAAGGAAGAAGCCAAGAGCTTGTCTGGGACTTTGGCTCTGCTTTTATCTGAGAAATGCCTCCTGCTTGGACAGAGTCCTGAGAAAATCTCTCCTTCCTAAGCACAAGGCCGTATTTCAGGGATACACAGCTGCAGGGTGTTATCTCCCTTGTATCTCCTGACCCATCTACAGGCTGCAGGAACCACCAAGGAGAAGAGATAGGCTTCCAGCAGATAGAATGCTTTGTGCTGTAGGGTCAGGGTTGGCAGCCAGGCCAACCTGCTCTTCCATCAGCAGCCGGGAGAGCAATGGACAGGAAAAAACCATGGGGATGGGCCATCATCTCCCTGGGGCAGGCTGTGCACAGCAATCCCCTCAGGGGAAGGATGACTCCCCTTGGGAGACCTCAGAGAAGTCCAGCTGTCAGCCTCAGCAGTCCCCATGGACATGTTGGGGTGGTTAGAGCAGATCCCCCTTTGGAGGGCTCCAGCTTGGGTAGGGGTACAGTTTGTCCTGACTCAAGCAGCAGGCACCACTCTCGGTGTCCCATGAGCTCCTGACCAGCCCAGAAGGAGTCAGGTGTCTTGGTATCATGTGACAGCCCTTCTGACACCCCATAGCAACCCTGATGGCCTGGGACACCCATGTCCCAATTCCTCCATGTACCAGGCACGGAGCTGCCCTCTACCAACCTTCACTCCCTTGCTACAGCAGCCCTGTGGTGCTGCAGCGTTGGCTCCACCAGCTCGGATCAGGACCTTCTCTGCAAACCTGGAGCTCCGCAAGATCGCAGCCATCTCAGCATCCACGTTCACCACCTCTCCTTCCTGGGGACAGAGGAATGGTCACAGGTCTGGGGTCCTGGTATGTGTCCCAGGGGACTCCAGACACCCAGCCAGATGATGGGGAGAGTGAAAGCAGGAGCACATCTTGGCTCAAAATCTGAAGAAACACCCACAAAACCCAAGCATCAGGCTTCAAACCATGCTGGGAAGCCACCATGGATCTCCTACTTTTTACCACAAAACAATGCACGTATCTGCCTCCCTTTGCTGGACATTTGCTCTCCCCTGGGTTTACACAGCCCCTCGGCTCCCCCTCCACCAAAGCTTGCCCCCCAGATCACAGAGGATGCTGCTGAGTAGCAGCTTCATCAGCTTTAACTCTTCCCTAGAGCCCCAGCCTGCCTCCCCAAACCTTGAAGGTGAAGTTGGCATCAAACACCAGCTCTCGCTCGTGCCCCACGATGCCGCCATTGTAGGTGACCTGTGCTGGCCCGGTCCGGCTGCCAGCCGGCAGCTTGAACAGGCGGTAAGTCGCGGAAACAAAGCGGCAGTCGCCTGCAAGGGAGAGGTTGGTGGCTTGGCCACTGAACACCTGGGCTGGGATGCCAGCAGAGCCTCCCAGAGCTGGCACTCCCCGGCTGGATCCTCACCGACAATGCCCTCCAGCTCCTTGTCGCCAATGGTGATGGGGCTGGCGGTGACCAGGCACGGGGGGCTGAACCCCACCTCCTCAGCAATGCTGTACAGGTCTCTCCAGTACAGGGCTCCTGCCAGGCATTCTCCTGGAACGAGACCACAGGCATGGGGGATGCAGACAAAGGTCCAGTCCCCCCATGCCATGTCACCCCCGTCCCACAGCCCCACGCACCCCACAGCACCCGGTGCTTCCGGATGGTCTCGCTGAGGCGCTGGCTGGCATAGACGTCACTGAAGTACATCTCTCCCCCGGGCTGGAGGGCAGCAAGGAGTGAAGGGAAGCCTCAAGAAGCAAAGATACAAAAGGGGCAAGGAGAATTGGGAACCCCCTAATCCTACCCTGCTTGGGACCCTCCGCAGAGACGCCCTCCCCTGACCCCATCCTGCATCCATGCCTTGCCAGATCCCATTTGCTACTTCTCAGTGGCACTCCAACAACAGAGCCACCCCAAGCCTGCTTTGCTGCCACAGGAATGAGCCCACCATCACCTTCAGCACACGAAAGGCCTCCTGCAGCACAGCCCTCTTGTCAGGGGCAAGGTTGATCACACAGTTGGAGCTGTGGGGGAGGAAATCAAGGCTTATTTGCATGCTCTTGCACATCTGGCTTGGGATTTCCCTTTTTCTAATACGTGCTTCTGAAGCAGTGACCCATTGGGATGCAGACCCAGCTCACAGCCCCAGGAAGCAGCAGGACTGGGGATGACTGTGCCCTGCATGGCACCTACATGACAATATCGTAGCTCTCGTCAGCCAGTCCGGCATCACCCAGCTTCTCCATGTAACCATGGAAGAACTCCACATTCGGCTTTCGGTAGCCAAACTTATCTGTGTGGTAGGCAATGTGCTTCTTGGCCACCTCAACCTGGCAGGAGGAAGGGAATGATGTGGGGGGGCTGCTGGAAGGGTGAGAGGGAGCCCCAGATCCGTGCCTTACTTGCCCCTCGGTCATATCTATGCCAGTGACGTGGCCCTGCTCCCCGACCAGCTGGCTCAGCAGGTAGCAGTCCCTGCCGCTGCCGCTGCCCAGGTCCAGAATCCAGCACGATGTTAGGCACTCAGGGATCACCAGACCGCAGCCGTAGTACCTGGGTGGATGCTGAGCTGAGCTGGGGGCAGGTGCCCCACAGCACAGCCGAGAAGGGGCTGCAGCCCATGGGGATGCGGCAGTGGAGGAGAGACCCTGGGGGTTACCTGGCCACCACCTCCTCATGGATGCGCTCCAGAGCATCTCTCACCAGCTTGGAAACGGGCCTGGCTGAGGTGATGCACGCATTGGTTTTGAGGTCCTCTGACTTCTGCAGCTCTTTGCCATAGTAGTCCTGAGATGGGAAGAACAGAGGCCACTAAACTGTGCCAAGTTGAGCACTGGGAGCTCCCTATGCTTTAAAATATGGGGGTCATGCCTGCACTCAGCCTGTACACGTGTACATGTCCTCTGGCACTGGCATTTTCATTTCAACCTAGCCAAAAACTACGGTAAGATCAGGCATCCCTTTGCCCCCATCCTCCTCAGCTCCGTTTGCTCACACGTACTGATGTGTTTGTGCAGGAGGGAATTTAATTCCCATTTCCAGTAAATTTGCAGGCTGCAGCTACCATTTCCCTGGCTGAGAAGGGTAGAGGGAACAAGGGCAGGGAAATGCCAGGTTTCTTCATCCCCCAATCCTGTGTGAAACAGGAGCAAAGCTGCCAAGAGCACCTGGCATTTTTGTCTGGGCCTGGAAACAACCTTTACCCTCTAATAGCAGCAGGAACTCCAGCACAGCCCAGGCATACATCTCCTGCCCAGCTGCCCCATCCCCCCCAGCTCCCTTCCACACTCCTCACTTGCACTTCCTGGTGGATCTGCTGTCCGGTGGGAGTTGCCACTGAAACGGGAATGTGGGGCTGGTGGCTGACACCACAGAGATGGGCACCACTCCAGGTCCTCCCAACAGTTCTGAATCCCCCTCTTCCCCCAGATACAGCAGCACTTTTTGTTCTCTCCCAGCAGAACCCTGAGAATCCCCCCAAACTTGCAGTCTAATAGGATGTCCCAGGAGGCACCTGACAACATCCCTCCACCCCAAAAATCCAGTCCAGCTACCCTAGAGAGCTGAGCCCCCAAAGCATCCCAGCAGGGTAAATCCCCCTCCCCTGCTTTGCAGAGCCCTTGGCCCCAAGGCCAGCCCCAGCACCCCCAGCAGAGGCCCTGGGCTGTCTTACTGCCTCCAGTCGCAGGGCGCCAGTCAGACTCTGCCCAGCTCCTCCCCAGTATCCTGTGCTATCCCGGCAGCCCACACGGCCTGGAGCTTGGCTTCCATCCCAACAGCGGCTCCCGCCTGCCCAGGCCCCTGGCACATGGCCCAGTGGGACACAGGCACAGCGAGGCTGCTGGCACAGCAGGACATGAGCACAGGCACAGCGAGGCTGCTGGCTCTGTGGGACACAGGCACAGGCATGGCGAGGCTGCTGGCTCTGTGGGACATGGGCACAGCGAGGCTGCTGGCTCTGTGGGACACAGACACAGGCATGGCGAGGCCACTGGCTCTGTGGGACATGGACATGGGCACAGCGAGGCCACTGGCTCTGTGGGACATGGACATGGACACAGCGAGGCCGCTGGCTCTGTGGGACACAGGCACACAGCGAGGCTGCTGGCCCCGCTCCTGTGCTGAGCACGCTGCCATCATTCACTGTTCTTGCTGCACCCACACCCCCAAAACCCACCTTGCTGCTTGTTCCCCAACTGCTCTGCATCTCCACAGTGCAGCCCTGTCCCTGCTTGTCCCAAAGGCAGGGAGACACAAATTTAATGCCACGGGACTGCTGTAGGCTCTGCAGAGGACAGGACTTTGGAAGAGACAAGCCACCTGCAGCAAGGTCACATTGCCTCTGCAAAGCCCTCTGAGCTGAAGCAGAATGGGGGATCCTGGGGGGGCAGCGACCCACCATCCATCCCAAAAAGTCTCCTCAGTGCACAGGGACCACTAGAAACAGAATCCAGGACAGACTGCTGCAGTTTGGTGGTGTTCAGGCTTTTATTCCCAGCAAGAGAGCCACAGGGAAAACTCTCATTCCCAAAGTGCACCTGCAAAGCTGGGGTCAGAATGTCACCCAAGGCAAAAATACTGGCAGGGATGGTGAAATCTAGTCTGAGAAGGCTCTGCAGCACAGGAGCCAGACTCCAGCAGCATTCCAACAGGAATGTGGCAGGCCCATGTCAGCTCTCAGCTTGCCTGCTCCTATCAGCTGGTGAAAAGCACACTCAGGGAAACAAGTGCTTCCCGTGCACTCCAAGTGCTCCAGATAAGTGACTTACTAAAAACAAGACACAGTATTTATAGCTGGTCCTGGATGTGAACAGCTCACTAGTCTCCAGCAGAGCAGTGTAGAACTGAGCACACCAGCTCCTCATGCTCTCTTGCTTGCTTCTCAAGAAGGCCTTTGGATACCTTCCCAACCAGATACAAACACACACCACAGCCAAGGCTGCTTCTTCAAAAGCTGGAGCAGCAGCTCAGGAGAAGGAATGCACTTGAAGGCCGAATGCAGCACATATGGGCTGGCAAAGGGATGATGTTCCAAACTCTGGCAGAGAGGAAAATAAGATAACCTCTGAGGAGGATGATGGTCAAACCACATCCAGCTAGGCCACTGGCATGTATGCTTAGGTTCCTGGTTTCAGAAATTCTGTGCTGGGACTGGCACCTCAGCCTACACTGAAGTACCCCTCACCCACCCAGGCACTTGCAGCTCACACTGATTAAAATGCCCTAAATAAACTGCACTCTGTGCCACCTCTGTGGCTAAATACAGATCAGTGGCAAACTGCAGGCACCTGCATTTAAATGCCATGCCTCAACTATGCATTTCTTGCCAAGGGTGCTGGGGTGGGCAGAGCACCTCATGCTACATGGGAAGTAAGCAGACACAGGGATTATTGGGAAGAGCAAAGTTTCAGGGAAGTTTGTTTCAGCCAGGTGCAGGTGTGCAGGTGAGCATTCTGGAGCAGAGGTGTGGATGCAGGCACACGAGAGGGGGCCATGTGCCCAGAAGCACAGACTCTGCACCTATCCCAGCTGACATCCAGCTTCATCCAGACATAGTTCTGAGCCCCAGGGGCTGGAGGGGGGAGAACACTTCACTCCCTCAGTGCTGGTTGAGATTTCCTCAAGCCTTCAGCTCCCCTTCATTTCAGCAAGTGACTCAGCTGGTCCTGAAGGTTTGACGAGCGCTCCACGCTGGGCATCAAGCAAGAGGAGATTCATGGTGAGATCTGCTCCCAGACTGTGCTGTGCTGCCTGTGCCCAAGGCAGCAGAGCAGCTCTAGAGCTGACACTACAGCAAAGAGAAACCGTGGGGTCCCCTGACCCCCCTCTGTGTCCCCACAAAGGAAACCTCACTTCATGCACCCTGCTGTACACAGCTCTGCTCCCACCACCCTCATCTCCTCTCACAAGCAACCTCACATGCTCTATCACATCAGTGGGCAGGAAGGAATCAAAGGAAGTTTGGGTATGAATCCCATCTCTTCACTCAAATTCCCATCTCTTCACAATACTGAAGTGCTATCCTGCTGGGCCAGCATCTGCCTCAAAGGTAAATGCAAAAACCTTTCCATTCTGCTTTCCCCCATCCAACTCCATCACCTTTCCCCTTTCTACCCTCACAGCATGTCCCCCAGGTCCTCCCAAAACTCACTTCTTTTGAATTGCTTCTTGCCTGGAGGAGAAAAGGAAAGAAAAAAAGAGCATTAGAAAAACAAAATCTCAGTCATGATTTATGTTATGTCAAACAAGGGCTCAAGAGGCCAAAACTCCAGGGTGTTTCTGGATTAAGTTCTGGGGGACAGAAGCAGCACTGGCTTCTCCTTCTTAGTCCCAGGTGCATCCCATACACACGCATGGGAGATACAGTGCATGGCAAACAGGAGACAAAAATTTCAGTTCCCACCCCAAAACAGCGTGAAGAGGACTGGAAAATTCCAGCTCCAAGGCCTGCTCAGCTTTGAAGAACTGTAAAAGAGGGATCAGTCTGAGCTGGCAGCTTCATGCAAAGTCTTTAAGGAGAACAGAGAAGGACTGAGGGATCCACTCAGCCCCCAAGAGAGAACACCTACTTACTGGTGTCCCCTACTTACTGGTACTGTAGATGAGTAGTTATTATTGCCATTTTTCTTAAACTCTGTGGAGAACAAAACAAAGAATGAATGCCTACAGAGATCACAGTGCAGCTGTCCTAATGCCCTGGGGGTTCCTCCAGCACAGCCACCACTGTATTGCTGTACTGCCTCCAAAACACCCTCACTGGTATCTGTCAGCAGTGGCACACTTCATTCTCCTTTCCCAGGGACAGGCAGAGACACAAGTGCTTTATTTCAGCCCACAGTCCCTCAAGCTTTCTGTCAGAGAGGGCACAGCTTGAGGGCTGGCGGGCCTGCAGGACACCAGGAGTCCAGCAGCACTGGGTCTGAGGAAGCACTAAGTTATTCTGGCCACCAGCCCTGCTGCCTGAAGTAATGTATCTGACTCCAGGGCTCCGGGAGCAATTGTAGCACGGCTGCAAACCGTTCCTACCACCCTCCTCTCCTCTCGTCCGCAGAAACGCTGCTGCTCCAGCACAACAACACAGCTTACATCTTCCGAGTGCAAGATGGCATCTTCTTGCATCACCATGTTTCTGGCAGCTTGACCCAGCAGCTACAAGGCAAACGTACAGAGCAGGCTGAGACGCTGCAGTTTTGCGTTTCCCGAGGCCCCCGTGACGGCTGGCAGGGTGACACTCGGGGTGCCACCGCGGTGCCATGACAGCACATCCGTCGGGAGCGCCTGAGGCACCGCTCCCACCAGTCCCCGGGACAGCTGGCGG